CCATCGCTCCTCTGCGCCAGCGGTTTGTGGGGCTATTAGTGAATGCCAAGCCAAATCCAGGCACCACACCGAAAAATGAAAGATACTCCAGGTCTGGAAACATGCCTTCTACTGTGAAGCCTGAAGAGAACCTTTAAATTAAAGACATAAGGCAGAGGAGACACAAAACAAACAAACAAAAAAGCAGGACACAAACAGTGCTCAAAATACCTGCAGTTAATTTAATATTACAACAACTAATCTAGATAAATGATGCATTCTCTGTATTTAGAAGCGGACATTTGCCTTTCAAACAAATCTGCCATGGACCAAGCTCAGGTTATAAGCTTGGTTCAGAGTCACTGGGCGAAATTCTCTGGCTTGTGCTACACAGGGTGACTAAGTTTGTTGTCAGAAAGATCATTCTGACTTTGAAATTGGTAAGTTGTAAAGACTGATCTACCAATATGTATTACAGACCCCAAACTGTAGCTGCCTCTGTTCCCAATATGTCTTCACCTCGATGCAACTTGGTGCTGCCAGAACAGCGGCTATTCAACCCTCACTCTGCTGCATCCACCCTCCAGCACCAAAACGCGTTGTCTGCAGAGGGAGTTCAGCTGCAGTCTGTTCAGCACTGAGGTCTGGAACTTCACAAACTGAAACGCAAGCAAAACCAGACCTGGAAACAGCCAAGCACCAGCAGCTCCTGTTTCAGCCCAGAAGGCACGAGAGTCCAAAGCTTTCCTGAGGAATTGGGAACAATACACAGTCTAAGTACACATGCAATAAAATCAGGAAGAGGCTGCGTAATGCCCAACATTTGCAAGAAACAGAGGAATACAAGAACAAGTCAGACTTGTTCTTCCCTGCTGCACTGGGGATGAAGTGGCTGCAGACAGTGGCCGGGAGGATTCCGGGTTTGACGGTGCTGCTGTGCTGACTGTGCCAAGGTCACTCACTGTGGCCCAACTTCTTTTTGCAGGTGAAATGTGGAGCTTTGGGCCAGCAGCATTTACAGAATTCTTTTTCTCGTCTTCCAAGCAATGGAGCAAAACTCCCAAAACAACTCAAAGAGAAGAGAGAAATGGCCGGGAGGACGAGACCAGGTGAAATGCAGGAACATGGTGGCTGAGGGGAGGTTCACATGCCCCCACACGCGCCCACGGCCACCAGCTCCACGCTCGGCGCACGCGCAGCCAGCGCCGCCGCACACGCGTCCCGGCGCCATCCCGGCACGCTCTGCTCCTCGCGGGAGGCTTCACAAGGA